TTCGACGACATCTGCTGCGGGTATAGCTGCTATTACAGGTAGCTGTTTAGCGACTGTGGCCCTGCTCAGCACAATGGGTAGTCTCGGATTCATTATATACAGGTAATGTGTCGTGAAGTCGTAATGTTTATTAATTACATTTGCGTCTGCGTTCACTAATGCATTTGTTCATTAACTCCTTTTCAGGCGCAAATACTTGAACCCTCCGCAAACATTAAACAGTGATAAATGCAGTAATCCCGATAGCTCCGGTTACATCGATGATTCCACTATTCGCGTTAGTATTATTACATTCATAAATATTTAATGTGTATCCAATGGGATTTATTAAATTAATCATTCAAATAAATCTTTAATATATATATTTAAAGAGCACTTTTATTTTATTTTATTTATTATATTTTCAATATATTAACATTTTTCTTACAAGACATCAGTTAAAAGATAAAAATGGTAATAAAATTTTGATCTGTTAAAAATATTATATAAAAGTACTTGTTTTACTTGCAGGATAACTCAGAGGAAATGTACAGTTTGGATAATGACTCGTTCCTAAATTCGCTAGAGGCAATGACAATACAGAATTATTGGACTGACAGTGTAAAGCATACGAAGCTATGACAAAAGAAGATAACCCATCCCGGAAAGAGAATCGAGACATTTAGTATTTCCGACGGTGAAGCACATGAGCAAGTTTCTCTGCTTGAGCAATAGTACTTACACGTCCGAGACAACCGTATTCTACTAATTATCGTGCAGCAAGTTTTGTTGCTCGATGTATATCTGGAGGCAGTGAGAACATGCAGCGCTTGAGAGTCATTAATCAGTTTTTATGGGCTGCATCGAATGTTAGTTACCTCGGACGTTATTACTCTGTAGGAGTTACGTAAAAAATTATAGATCAAAATTGCGAATCGGCACGTATCTGTCATTTCGCGACGTGTTGATTTATGTCACTTCCATCGTTCCTATATTTTTCTACGACGCATGCGACTGGTAAAGTCGCACTTAGGCGGGAAGTGGCGGAATTATCCTTAAATATTTCTAGTAATGATATAGTGCAATAAAAATGAAAATTGATGTACTTTATTATTAAATTAATATAATAACATTATTCTAGAAAAGTAAGAGTACAAATAAGGCTATATTAGTTCATAGCTAGAGCATTTACTAAACTAAAAGAAGAATTAATTTAATATGGATATTGAAGTAAAATATCCCTAGTATTTATAGTACAATGCTTCCAATAATGCGAATTGGAACTCGTACGTACAATATTGTACTTACTAATGGTTTTTAATCTTGGATTTGAATGCCGGTGTCTTCTACAATTTCACTTTAAAATTACATTACAATTGTGGTGATTAGCTTTGGCCATATTGACAGTCGCTTAATCAGATAGTTTAAATATTTTCGAAGATCAGATTTACGGAAGATCGGACCAAATCGTACGTAGATCTAGCTTTACGCCTTTACGACATATCCAGCAAAAATATTGATTCACGTTTTCCATTATGAGAAATCTAGCTTGTACCTATGTACATACATACTATTGTAACGTTTTATGTATAGATGTGCAAATATTGCAAATCTGCCGTCGCGTCAAGTGAGACGTGATTAATTTTAAGTAGCGTTAGCATTTACCTAAATATATTTCTATACATTCGAAATGGGGGGGGAGGAAAAAGACAGAGAATCCATTGTGATAGATCGTAGCGTTTAATATGTGTAAAATTATCTTTGGCTCGTTTATGGTAACGGTTGTGAATAAACACGTTCATGTATTATACACATTCCCGCCGTCCCTTCCTTTATCCGTAATCTTTATTCTTAATACAATAATCCGATTGTTTCGATTTGAATTGACAATTGGATAGATGCCCAAATTTTTACGACTTTTAGATTTACAACGGTTATTTTATAATAGAGCGTGTAATATATTATATATATATACATATATATGCATAATCTTTGTTCCAAAAATTTATTTAAATAAAAGCACTAAACCTAATAAATTAAAAGTTCTGGATTTATAATTGTAAATATCTTTGATCCAATCGTTGTCCTTCGTGGAAATATTTTAATAACAGTAATCACAAAAGTGTATTTTAAAAAAGTAGAGATAAAAATTGAAGAATAGTTTATAATGTTTATATCATATAAATGATTTATTTCGTTAGTACGTACATTTGCGCCAGCACAAAAAAAATCGTGTTTTATAAAATGAAAGTAATGCAGAGTTTCTTTTCCGAGACTAGACACATGCGTCGTAGGATCCCATTACCAGTTCGTCCTTGTCCTCCTTCACAATTGATTTTAATTTTCTGTTGTTTACTAAACGACTTGCACTCTCCATGCTGCGAAGGCAGGACGTGACAGTGGCATTGGAATCCTACAGCCAACATTTTTCCGACTATCGCGGTGCTCCTTCGATCTCCAGGAAACGTCCGACCGAGTTTCTTCAGTAGCAATACTATTTTGCAGTAAAAATCAACTGATCCAATATCGCAATAAAAACAGCGCTCTAGTTTGTATATATCCTTTGTTATAAAATGCTCATCAAAATAGCTGCTTTTTATAATAATTAATATAACCAGAATATTATTAACGCTGTACAATGATAATAAAATTTTATTATGAATCTTGGTCAACTGGAGTTTTAGCTGCTCCAAAAATTCGGTCTACGCTTCTTATTACTGTATCGAGAGCCTTGTCGTCCCGAATTATGTTTTATCATATTCACAGGGCAGTGTTAGAAATATCCGAGTTACGCTAATACGTAAAAGGCAGGCACTAAGTGACTCCGCAAGCTTCGTTGCTTGTGAGCAAAGAAATCGAAACTTGATGTACACCGCGTTTTCTTTCTCCGACGTTCGGCCGAAAAGTTCCCTCGGCACGGCGGTGATACTGGCGGATTCAAAGACAAAGCGATGCAACGCAACATTCTACTTATTGTTAGCTTCTTTTCGCGAGTTCGTTCGTGTCTTAAATCGGGGTAAGTTGTAAATGCAACGAGACATGCTTGTAGTATTCAGGAAGAGAAGAAAATATATACTTTCGAGATTTTCGAAATGATTATAAGTCTGTAAATTATACGCGTGTATCATAAATCGCAATCGATGTTGCCTCTGTTATCACATTTGAGATTTATATCAGCTTTATCACTGTCGTCAATGTGATTTCCATTCATCCACTTTGATGAAACGATTACGATAATATGCAATCTAACAAACGAATATAACTGCTATATAATATAGATGTAAAACATGTATATTTACGTATATATTATACACCAGCTATATTTGTGTTTGCTGGGAATTTACTCACTCTGTCATATACGCCTCAATATCTTAGCTGAAAAAAAATATACATATATATAAATATAAAGTACCGCTTGAAGATATGGAACTTGTCGAAATAAAGATGTTGTACTTGTGGTTTGTTAAGTACATACTAAAAATAGATGATAATAACATAACGTCAATCGCACACGATTCTTATATGGTTTCACAAATTTTCTCTCGCGTTTCACATTTCGTTACAATTCACGAGCTGGTGACACGAGTGCGTTTCAATCTCGCGCAAAGTTTACAGAAGAGTTTGCTTGTAAGTATATATCATCTTCGAAAAATACAGAGATCATTTGTCGCGATGACAACGTAAGTGGATGACGCTTTCGCGAACCAGCGATATAAATATATCCCATTGCTTTTAAATACTCGGAAATTTCGCGCAAGGTCTCCCCTTGCCTTTTATAAACGCGTCTTGCGAAAGAGTCGTATACACAAACGCGAACGCGATGGAAACGTGGCTGCAACTGCGTTACACGTTTTTATCATTGGTGTTTAAACGAGAAGCAACAAAACGCGTTGTCTTATGAACGAGTAGATTTTATACTTTCTTTGAGGATAACTGCCCGCGATCTCTACAAAAATATTTCGTTCTCTTCGTTACAACAGCCTCAATGGCGCGTCTTGTCAGTTGTCGTTGGCGTCGACCTAAGTTGAATCGAATAATCTTCTATTATGTTCCTATTAGTTTCTTTTGCGTCGAACAAACGGGGTAAATCTCTTCTGCTCACATCGCAGCTACATCGAATTTGGCTGGAAATTGAAATTCGCTATGTACAATCCTGCTTTCCCATTACGCTTTTCGTCTCCTAAGACAGACGAGACTTACTATGTTAAAGAAAATGACAGCTAACTACTCATCTAAAGCTCGTATACGTTTGTACACTGGATACAATAATTATTCTCTATGCACCAGGCTCGTTAGTAACGGTTTAAGTTTATACGTCGAGGTCTAGATGACTTTGCGAAGAAATAATTAATAATCGCATCGGACAATCATGTGCTGCGATCAAAAATTGCATTGACAGTTGTAATTCGATTTTCAGAAATTGTCTAGACACACCGTTTAGAAAACACATGATAGGATGAACACCGTTTGTGGCCACTGCACCCATTTTGGCCACCTTCGCTATTTATTAGGTTCTTTTAATTTTGGTTGGCTCTAGTACGCAGCAATCACGACACGTGTGTGTCGCAATTATTTTTCTTGTTTAATAATGTGACAAGTAATCTCACATTTCCTCTTTCATATTATAAAAAAATTATTTTCTACGGAATACACTCAAGACACAGTTATCTTGTCAAAAACGATAAGAATCCCCGAACGCGGTAAGTAGAATAATTTATCAATAACCACATATGACACAAGTATAGCAGACAATATTAGTAGCCATCAATTAATTAGTAGTCAGCCTCATAATGATAGGAAATATATAAGTGGCCAAAAATGGTGTAAAATGGAAATTTTTTTAACACTATTTAACTTTTTCATTATACATTCGCTTTTTTCCTTAAAACTTTTTTGAATATTAAAAATTAAAACAATATATTTAAGTAAACAGCATCTCCTTTTTATGTATTATTTAAAAAAAAATTTCTTAAAGTTATATAGAAATGCTTAAGGTGGTCATAGACAGTGCATTCATCCTATTCTTAGATAATTTCGCCTGTGACAGATTACCAAGTTTTCGCCAATTCACGATTTCTAATCGTCTGTCCACCATTATTTCTGAAATATTTGCAGTTTAAGATAACATCAAACATCCGTAAATCCCTAATTCTATATATTTAGACTTCCACGTAGGGAAACATTCGCCTTCGAATCTATTTATTCTCCTTGGATTGCAAAAGTTATCGATTTTCAGATCCGCAGTTATTAACAAACGCGATCATGAAAACCGTACACGGTGCCTCTCTGTCGATCTGTAACAGTATTACGATTATCAACGAGAGTATTGCATCGTGAGGCTATAAGTGGAGATCAAAACCCGAGGAATTATCGGATTTCTTCAATACCGCGCGATTCACTCATCGTTCTTCTTCAGGAACGAATGGAAGAAGTGGTTGAAGACGTTGACGCGAATCGATTCAGTTTGCTGTCAATAATGATCTCATCGCCGTTCCTAATGTTGTATCGATATAGCTGCTTGTTTGGATAGAGCATTTCCTCCGGTCCATATTGCGCCTTCATTTCCTAAAATTATTAAATCGTTTCAATTTCTTTAGCATTGATACTGCAATACGCGATATCTAATTTTATTGTAGGTAAATGATTAAGAATTGGCATTTATACCTTATATTGTACTTCGGATAATGGCTACATATGCAGGTCAGGATAAGGATCGTTTGGAAGGTAATGCAATTCATATCGCAACTTCGGGTTTTTTAAAGGATCGAGCGTGCCAAACATTCTGCAAACAATATTAAAGTCGTTCAGTTAATATAGAACAGAATAACTCACTTGGTCAACGTAGAAAAGCCTCATTCTGTTGGCAGGAATTTTCACCATACTTTCCAACTTAGTTTTTAATTCGAAAACTGTTCTATATACATCAACCGATCGTACCTAAAAGCATGAATTGTTTGTGACTGTTATTTCCATCAAATATAGTTCCACATATAGTTCCAAAAAATATAGTTCAGAAAGTTCTATATATTACGAATATATATTTGTAGAAGTAAATACTTTTACAGACTTGATTATTTTTCAAGTTGCGTGTTCGAGAAAAATTATAGAACTAGTGAAAGTTTATCTTTACGCTCGATACACCTGTCTAAAGTGATGATATCCGATATGATATGAAATTAAATACCTCGACGAGATCTCCGTAAGTGAACGTGACCTTGACCCTTTTCTCCGGTGTTAAATCTACGTTCACCAAGGGGTCCAATTTTCCGTGAATAGCCACGAGCTCGGAATACCTGAAAATCACAGAAGAGGGTCAAGTTGGGTTCCTCCGGGCGGCAAAGGACCGAGAGTGGCCATGAAACGAGAATAATCCAATAGACTCTGGCGAAGCTGGAATCGCCTGAATAAGGCTTTTTCGCGAGGAAATTGGAATTTATGTTAAAAGCGCATTAAAGCAACTTGCGGCGCCTTTGAAAAAGTATTCGAGATTAATTCTACGCAAGTCTTAATTATTATCAAAGGAAAAAAAACGATTAAGATTGAACTTGGCGAGCGTCGAGACTTACCTTTCGGGCCGATCAGCTTCCGGTTTGTCCATGTAATAACGTATGAAGGCCCTCTCGGCGTCCTCGCGCTCCTGAGACGATATCACGCCGCCGCCGTTCAAAGTCTCGACGTTTGGCAGTCGGGCTATTAGTAGCTGCCGCCTCTCGTGTTCTGTATATTCTCGAGGACTCTGGGAAATGTTAAACGAATATAAAACAGTGGCCAAACGCTCGCAATATCTAGTATAGATGGATAACTACGCAAATATTATGAGGATTGATCAAGTTAAAAAGTTAAATTAGATTGTATAATAAAAGATATACAAATTTAATTAATTAAAACAAAAAACTGCAGATTATAAACATTAATAAGTTAAAGAATAGGAAATATATTCTGCGATAAACGGTTTTTCATTGAATTGGTTTTTCATTGAATCGAAGGCTACCATGTTACGCACTCGCACTTTTAATTAGCACGATGACTTTGATTTATCTAATTCCATTTCTCGCACATAAAATAAAGCTTTACATGTAACAAGTTCTAATATCTGCTATTGCGCTGTAACTACTTTCTGTTAATTTTTATTTTTTTTACTTTGTATTTAAAAAAAGTGACACAAAGATTTAATCCACTCTAACAATAAGTATATATACAAACAGCGATTTCTTTATTTCACGGATCGTCCATTAATATCAGGTTTTCTTAACATGACCGTGTTTGAAAGTGTAATATAGGGGATGCTTGCAGAGTGTATTGATTTCAAGTTCCAAGAACTTGTTTTTGGAACCCATATTGCATTAATCTATCAGCCTGTTTGACCACGTGCCAAGATTCAATTGCTGCATATATCTACACGAAAAGATCTTTTACTAGGACGCGCTATTTCTCATGTAACCGCTAACGGCTGTTGTGGTTTTGATGTGGAGAATTAAACACGTGTCTCTAATTCGTCTATCGTCAAGTGTGTTCAGACTTCATTCTTTGATGTACTTTGAAAATGAAAATAGCCATTGATTTCAGAACGATATACTCGTGTTATATTTTGTCTATTTTAATCTTTCATGGGTTAAATTGATTTTACGTCGTTGTAATCAATATTATTCCCAAGCAACAAGAACTATCTATAATTATTTTATAACTATTTTTTATTGGCTCCTGTTTTATCTTCCAAAATTTCTCTTTTACTTTGTATTTAAAAAAAGGGGTACAAAGATTTAAGTACCTACTTTAAATAACATTTTTATTTAATATCTATAAATTTGTAAGCAACATCTAAGTAATAATTTTAATATACATTTTAATATACATTTTAAAAAAGTAAGAATATTATTTATATTAAATATGATTGCACTTGTTAGTTTTCTTTAATTAAGTCACACGTAAAAGAATTCAAATATTTCTTAACGTAATGCAAGACTTTCTAATTTTCAATCATCGAAGAGGTCGAAGACCACTCACCTCGAAAAGCGGGCAGCCTTGGATTCTGAGCGACTTCAACACGGGAAACCTGGCTAGCCTTTCGACTTCGTCCCAAGTGGATAGTAGAGTACCGTTCAGATTCAGGAACCTCAGCATTCTGAAGGGATTGTGAGGCGACTCGATGGTCATTCCATTGGATTCCGACTTTGATTCGGATCTATCGTAATTCACCTTGTTTTCAAATATCCTATTTCCCTTATCATCTGTCGACGAAGTGTGTTCATCTGTATCTAAGTGATTCATGTTTTCGCTATCCTGACCAAGTCCTTCTTCCTTTGCTCGACGACCATCCTCGCCTGGCAAATTCTGATTTTCCTCCAAACCGAGTGATCTAATTGGACACTCGGCGAGAACAAGGCTCTTCAGGTTCGGAAATAGGTACCTGAAGAAGTATACGACACCAAATCTTTCAGAATAAGTACTTATATATTACGACTCAGAAATTTTATAATATTTTATAACTAAAGAAACTGATTGATTTTTCAATTAGTGGCATTAAAATCACGTGAGACCTACCCCAATTTCGAGATCTCGTTCCAAACTTCCACCGGATTGCCAGTAAAGTGTAATTTTTTCAGCGCCGGATTTACGTTCTCCGGCTTTTGATAATCCAAGTCCACCGTTTTATATTCGTTCAAAGACAAATGGAGTTCTTCCAGATTGCGCAGGAGTCGTATCAGTCCCTGCACCGTCGACCAGGACACCCTGGTACCGTTCAGTACGAGGTTTCTCAGAAGATCGTAATTACCATGTTTGATCTCCAGTACCTCTGCGAGGCAGTTGAAGCTCAAGTTTACAAATTTGATTTTGGGCATGTGCTGCAGGATGCCGAATACTTCCGTCCATTGCGACAACTTGTTCTGTGCCAAATCAAGCTCCTCGACGTTCTTGCACTTGTTGCGAAGTTTCTCGGCGTCATTACCTGCCGATTCAATGTCGCAGTCCTGGAGCACCAGTAACGCCGGCACTGTATGTCGTGGAGACTTCTTAGGGATGAAGATGCTCACCGACAGGGCGGCTTTGGGCGAACCAGACTCCGCCTCATCATCCGTTAATGAGCAATCCGTCGTTGAACTGCCGTATTTTAGCTCCAGCGCTTCCAACAACGACGGCATTTTTACAGCATTCTAGAACATCATGAAAAGCTTAAGGACTTGATTTCTCTATCAAATATGTATCTACATAATTACAATTTGTACTACTTTGAAACTTTTAAATTCTTGACGTTCAAGTATTATTTTCGTAACTATCGAATCATTTATTATTACTGAGTAATTTTATGAAGATCGCTGTAGCAATCTTGCTACATCAAATATCCATTTAGTTTTTATTTTTCTTCAATAAAACAATGGCAGAAATTATTAATACCTACATTTTGATTATATATTAATATATATATTAATTACGATAGAACAAATATTTATTGCGTTCAATAAATCGCAGATATATTATTTTCTGATAACTTTTGAAAAGGATCCAGGCGGTCCATTTTAAAGAAAAAAGATATGAGATTATATAGAGACCTCGAATTATTTGAAAATAAATGCTGTTTCTTAGGATGACCATGACAATACAAATATGCAAGTAAATGTGCACACTGTCGGTCAAATAACACAAAGCAGCGCCGCTAACCGCGGGAATATAAAAGGAAGGAAAAGGGATAAGGAAAAATCTCTGGAGCCGGTCATCCTCGAGACATGTAGAATCTGGTCTCGCCATATCCGCTAAGGTCACGCCATTGTCTTTTTGCGCAGCGGCCAAGAACCAGTACCGAGCAGAGAACCAGTTCTCTAGCAGTCAACAGAACGATTCTTCGTGGTCGCGTCTCAACTCGCCCACGCGTATCAGCATCCAGAGACAACTTGAGACAATCCTAAACCTGTCTTATCGGCAAACCTATGCTAAGAAAAATCACCCGTGACGAAAAGTTAACGATTATTGTTGCAGCTGCACAAGTGTACAAAGAGAAAGAGATATTTTGATTCTCTAAAAGTTGAGTTTGACTCGAATAGAACGATCTCATCGAGCACATAGTTAAAATCCTCTTGAGGATCTTAAATCTGTCTTGGAACCCTTTTAGAAATCGGAATATAACGTTATATAGCAATGAATAAACTTTCTTTCCAAAGAGGTACTCCAACGTATAACAATTCTGAAACTAATTCTACGTCATTGTCATTAAATGATCTTCCTATAGAGCTCTCTTTAGTATCTCTAGAGTACTTTGAATCTCGTAATTCTATCTGAAACGTATATGCGCGTGTTTAATGAATATCGCGTCATAAAAAAGCTTTTCGACGACTTTCCACATATTGCGATTTCTCAAGCGGCAATGATACGTGTTGCGGCAACAACATAGTTTGGACGAGCTTTCCGATCTATTATGGTTATTAATACGTAGTCGGATTGCTACGTCTTCACAATCGGTGATAAACGTCTTTCTACGCGTGCTATATACGGCGACTCGGTCATTCGATGCGTCCTCACTATGCATGGACGACCGCCATTCAACCACGTGTCGCAACGCCGTGAATACCTTATTCTAATGTGCACGATCAAAGATATTCCCGTTATTAGCAGGAGATCGAGAAGACTTTTGCATTTCTATTCGTGAAAGTATAATGAGCGAATAGAGTGTCTGACATGATTTAGAGATATTCAAATCAGTGTTGAGTTGTCTGTCGAGGAACAAGATGTTTTCTATTATATATCACATCATTTACATATGCGATATCTCTGCCACAAAACCCTGAAATTGATAAAATACAATCGTGACCGCGTAATAAATCAGCGACTCGTGAGAGTCGAGAATTCGCTCGCAAAACGGAAAACTGTTACGTTAGTTCAGCTAGAGAGTCATGTAACACGTAAAGAATCATTTTCATTTATTTGTTAGACGCATGCCAAATTGCGAATGCGTTTACATAAGAAAAACATTACGATACATCACGATACATTTCGAAGCGTTCTACTAATTTACGTTGTATTTCGTATCGGTAAACCGTTGTGGCAAACAATTCCCACACAATCAATGCAAATTCTATGACCTATATAAATATTCATCGTTGTAAATGAACGATGTAACATGTACAAGTTATTCTTTCTTCTATTTTTTTCCGAAAAGTTTTATTTTCAAATTTAAATTTCATAGGACCGACGTGTGAACTCACTAATAATATGAAATAAAGGCCTAATGCCAGTCGAAGTTAGATCTTAATTACTTTTGAAATAATTCACATTTGAATTATTTCAAAAGCAATTAAGATTTAGCTTCGACCGGCATTAGGCCTTTATTTCATATTATTAGTTTTATTTTCAGTTTGAATTCGAGTCACTTATAATTGGTCCAAGGAAAAGAAATAGTTTGTATGAAAATAAAATCGTATACATTTAAAAAGAAAGGAGAAGCAATACAAGAGTCTTTTTTGAAATAATACAGAATCTACACGGAGAGAATTTTTTCTTAGAGTTTAGACCTAAAAATATGATAGTCGTGGGACAACATTGTATTTCGAAGAATTTTAATTTAAATTCTCTCATTCATTAATAAAACTACAATAAAGTATAAAATAAGTTTGATTAATTTTACTAAAGTGCATGGTAAAAATCTTTAAAATATTATATTGTACCACAACTCTCTCTCTCTCTCTCTCTCTCTCTCTCTCTCTCTCTCTCT